CCCCTAGACGAATTTCACTACTCAGAAGGATCCTGTCACCCTCTTTTTCTTGTTGCTCTGGTGACTATTGCAGCCAATAGTGTGCCAAGAACGATGGACAATTTGGTTAAACGATTGCAAATAAGAAAAAGCCCGCGATCCAAAACTTCAAAATGGGCAGTCTACTTAAATGTTTTAGAATTAACCATACTGACTACACAGGTGAACACAGTCTCGGCTAAGTGTGTTGTCGGGACTTACACTTCAACAGTTTAAAGTAACACGTTTCCAACAATCAAAATTTTTGCTAAGTCTCTTAAACCACGGGTTTACAGTAACAGTGTGTTCTCCAGGCGCCACAAATCTGGTGGGCTGCAGTTGAATGGTTCCATCCTAGCGTGATGCAACAATCCTGTCGAGGCTTACCTTGAAAAAGGAATATTCTGGGTAAGATCCATCCCAGAAATCAATACTGAATACGAAAGTAAGGCTACATAAACTAGAGTGTTTAATTTTCGCCTATACCCAAAGGTTGATTCACTTCCTTCCGCTGAGCGCTTGAGTTGCAAAGTAAAAGGCCACATCTCGAGCGTGCTTAAATGAATACCAGTTTTCTGGCTTGCCAACATACTTTTAAAATCAAAGATCCAGATAAGAGCCACTCTGCATGACCATCTGATAATGATTTACCCTCTTATTTCAGGGGAGGGGCAATTTGTTCTTCTGAGAAACAATGTGTCAAGTGGTGGGTGACGAGAAACCACGCTTCCCGGAAGGTTATTTCTTTTGGGATGTATGCCCGGGAGCATATCTCGTGGATTATATATATACATATCCTGACCAAAAGCTGTTACCTTGATACGGTGATCAGGTTCAAGTACAGCATTGTCTCTGCAGGCTACGCTGGCTGAAACTTCGCTTCTCAGGATTATGTCATGATAAATGAGCTAGCCGAGTGTAGTCAGACAAAGACGAGCGAGTCATCTGCTCATATTACTTGTAATAATGGGCGACTGGTATATTCATCTTGTCCTATGAGATAGGAGTTTGAAGGTAGTAAGATGTTCGACAAACACACCCATTCGTTTAAAAATTTGGTTGTCACGGGAGACACACCTGAAGCCAAGCTGAATCTCTTGTTTATATTCAGTAACTTGTTCCCTCCAGACGACGAACATCTCCATATCCATGGAAGCAGAAACGCTGTCTTGGTCAGAAAAAAGACAGGATAGAAAACATCACGTCTAAGTCCGTACAGTCCCACCTTCTATTGGTTCGCCAGGACCGATGGCATAGCCAAGAAGCTTTGCGAAGTGGCAAAGACTACTTTGAGGAGAGTCTGAAAAAATGTCACCTTGGTTCTCAAACTTTGGAAAACGGGACGCTTTGGAGAGCAATCTGATGACCTCTCTTTTTCACATGCTTAGAAAGCTTTGAGAACTAAGGCATCTCAATGCTCGAAAGCAAGCGTATCATTCGAAACGACCGTGCAGTTTTCAGTGAAGCAACAACAGCCTGTATCCGTGCGAATTTCGGGTGCAACTCCCCGAGCGAAATCGAGTTCGTCGGTGACCAGTTTACTTCCCACAAACCACCAAGGAAGCACCAGTTAACTGCTTAGGTAAGTTTTCTCCCGATCTGTCAGATTAATTCTGCTTCAGTCCATAATCGACAGTCATACTACGAAATGACGGTACCATTCGACTAGTGGACTAGTGCATAGAACCACACTGGGTACGGCGTAAACGGTTTGTAGTTTACAGTGTGTGCAGAAATTGAACTGATCAACCATTGTTGATCATTAACGTTTTAGGGTGCCAACCAAACACATGGATTCGAAAACGTCGACTTAACAAGTATAAATCGATAAGCTTTGGCCTGCTAACAACAAATAACATTTTGAAGAAAATTTGGCTCATGAAATGGCATGAGATATGGCATACTGGTGTCCCAGCTCAAAGGCTGTGACTACAAGGAGCATATCTTCGCATTTGAAATCGTCACTCCTTAATTAACTTATCACAGATAATGCGTATGTACAAAGTACTACCAGAGATACTCATCATATCCAGCCCAAGGCAACTGAGAAGCATGACTAATGCGTACTACCCATGTGTATCGCTGATTCCCTTCTAGGTCAGTGTGCTCAGATAGCTCAGCCTGTGGCGCCAGCTCCAGAGGACGAATCCAAGTTAGAGCACAAGAATCGGCTTTGTTTGTTTTCCACCACGATCAGACACCTACACATATCCGAATGATTACTGAGATCAGCGTGATTTGGCAACAGCTACCTCGTCTATCCACCATGATATATATATATCACGGAAGGGCTTTTGGACTGGGTGAAAAATTACTGCCTCAGTTGACCAAATAGTACCAGAACTATGGAGATCCCTCGATTTGAATGATACGGTAGTTGCCACATTGCACGCCAAAAAGGGCAGAAGGCCCTAGGATGAACTACACGCATGCTAAGAAAAGAGACGAACTGGATCAAGAATCGAATCACCCGGGACTTTGAGTCGAATGGTGAGAAAAAGTGTATTTCTGGGGATACCGATAAACCAACGGGCTAATTGTAGAACACTCAGAAGAAGCAGTTAGACTCTGTTCGCCAAGTTTGCATGGCTAGTACTTCGACGGTTTGGGTAATGTCTTGGAATATAGGTAGCTTGGATGCATCCGATGGTATTTGAGTAGATGGCTGTTGATCTGTTCGCCGAGCTTGGCAATCGACTGTCAGACATTTCGTCACCATTCGAGGCAACATCAGTGCGCATCGTCAACGACGCACAGATGATATCTCGCAGTAAAGGACACCATCCGACTGCAGTTGTGCATCAAAACCAAAGTAAGAGAGAACCTTCAACCTGACCTTGCAGGTACTGTACAATAAATATCCTGTCTTTAGCCTCGCCTGACCCTGGCGCCTAGCTGGTACGTCATCACGTCTAAGTCTTTTTTCCGGGGGTCAGTGTATCTGGGGTTTATAGCGTTGATGAGACCTAGTTATTCATTCCCGTTCTTACAGCAACTAGCTCTCCACTGGGTCATGAAAGCCTTCATCGAGGCCAAAAGTTAATGTAAAGAACTCATTTCAACGACAATAGATCTACAAAAACTTTGAGTGGCACTTTTTCAACGGGGAAGTTTCGTGGTACATTGATACAATTGTCGCACTGACTATTTTCATCCACTCTTGCTTTGGTAATTTTTATATCACCATATCAATTATGTTTTCTTGTCTATCTTTACTTTCGAACAGATAACTAAGCAGTGAATTTCACCATTCGACAGCTGGAATTCTCCAGAAACAGTTCATTCACCTCCCTGGTCCACAACAGTTGATTAAGATGTATAAATACTTGAACACATGGTCTCGAGACGATTTTTTGTGGATATTCTGACTCGGTAAACTCAGAAATTTGCAAGTGCCACGAAGAAACACCCATTGCACAACACCAGTACCCAATTACACACAAGAAAATGTGCATGTAATACTCGGTATTGCCTTATCAGACTCACCCCTCTCAAAGTAAAGGCAGCTTTGAAGCCGAAATTCCTAACCTGTTGTACGTACGAAGTGCTATCATTTATAAATATTTCTGGGACCTCCAAGGTTCCCCGTTCTCTCAGTTATTTTGGGTTTCTGCATTAATCAGTGTATTTCTTAAACGCTTCCAAATCCCGGGTAAACAGTTTGAAAATCAACCCGTAATAAGAAATAGAATAACTTTTCCTCCTGTATTAGACTGTCTGCTAATGCAAAAAAGTCAAACGGGTGCCCAAGATAGATTTAATTCTGCCCGCTTGTCAGCTCGTCACTGAGTAAGAAACGTTTCGACTTAAGAGCTGGTCAGTGATATGTTTAGATCATTTGTGTGTCGTGATTTAGTGACACACTTATCAGGGCCAGTTCTAGGCAAGGACAAACACCACTGCTAAAAGAACTAAGGGGTTTGAAATGGATCTCACGAATGGGTCAGATGAAAGAGGCTGAGGGGGTCGAATTGCAGTGAACACGTCGGATACCCTATCGCTACAAAGTGTTTCTCATTCATCGTATGTGCCATCAACCTGTTGGAAGTGTGGTCAATCGGTGGGTTTTTCACAACTATTTTCGTTCCGTTGCTGCTCCTGTTAGATGTGGGAGTGAAAAAAAGAATATCCACATAGGAAGTGACCGATTCAGGAGACAATCAGTCATCGTACTTACAAAATTGAGATCCAAATCGTATATAAATCAACGTCTTATTTACGGACCATCTAGGTTGCTTACTATACAGTTGACTATTTCATTCAGGGTTCGTGACACACAGGTGACTATTAGGATCATGTCTTCCCGACAAACTCAAAAAGGAGACAGTCGTTAGTGCGCTGCCAGTCAATTGTATCAGTATTCGCATACTACTTATAAAACAGTGACCACCGAAAGTTCAGCTTGGAAACTCATACAATTTGATCAATAGAACACTTGAACAAGTGTAACGTTCAATTCTTCAATGTCCGACTCTGACACAGTGCTGAAGTTCAATTCTACCGATCACTCGTCAGCATCCAAATGTACTGTAGCTGATCCGAAAAGACAACCATGTGCCTTCGTAGATTGTTCACCAAAATGTCATCGATTGTAGGTCTGATGTAAGATTCAGTTCTACCACGGTTCGACGAATCTACTTCTGGCAATCGATTGGTCTGTGCTGTTCGCCCGGCAGCCGAAGCTGATCGGTGCACAACGCTGGTTTTGGCGAATCAGCGTCATCTGGTGCCAGGTGCTGCCCCATACGCGTGTCTGATTGGTTACGAAGCTAAGCGAATTCACATTGTGCCAAACAAAAACAGCACACACGACGGCGGTTCTGCGTGCATGTGTCCGTGCAGGTGACAGGGTACTGTCAACACCGCTTCCGTTCACCCCTTTGTCTATCCAAATCAACTGTGTTTCTTACCCCTCCCTCCCCGTTCCGCACGAATACAGTTGGTTTCTCTGGAAGGGTTACAGGTGGCCGACTGGGTGAATCGAACAGTGCTGTGTGGACAGGTTTTGTCCGTCTGACTTGGAGAAGCGTCTACTGTTAATACGAATCTGAATTGATTATTGCTCACTATATCACGACCTCGGTCTTCGCGATTCCTACCATTCAGCATGACCGATGGCTTTCACAGCTCTGCGCCCGTTTTTTATCCCACCTATCCGAATTCGGACATGGACCATTTCAGACATATTTCTGTCAAAATAAGCGCAGCGCCGAGTCTCACGACCACATTGCATGGAACTGAGAATGGTATTTACCCGACAGACAACATAACTGCGCTAGAAGACATTTCTACGCATTATATTCAACAACAACAGCAGCAACACTATCTCCATCCAGACCCTTCATATCGGTACCCCATAGAAAGCGATAGTGAGCGTGACCAGTTATCACACGGCGCCCATCCTCTCGAACATTCCAGTTTACATGTTCACGTACCTGCCAACATTCCACCACCGGAAGCAACGTCTTCACCGGATCTTTTATCCACACAGCGGCAGCAACATCAACAATATGGACACACCGATGCGGTTGATGCGATAAATCCGTCAGGCGACACCATCCACTGGCCCAAAGTTATTAATAACACTACACATGATCTTAAAAAAATGGTTAATTGGTCATCCTCACCTTCCAACATTCGAAGTCCAATGAACCCTCTTGGATCCGTCAATCCAAGGGAGTATTTTGTGGACAGTGCGAATTTCCAGCTCCACCATTCAACTCAGCTGCAAACAGACCCCCATCCTGTTGCTGTTCATCCGTTCACAAACAACCAGGGCTATTGCTTTCCACAGACAAGAGAACACGACAACAGCATTGTGGCCAGTAACGAATCTGGCCATGAACCGATATCTCCACCGTTTCCTACTGGAAACCCCGAACCCAAGTCATCTCCACAAAATGTGCCATGGAATTCCAAACTGGATCAGTCACACTACACTCAATTTACCACAAATTATACCGATATTCCCATCATGATGTCGTACTTGACTGGTTCTATGTGTCAGGAGTTCGCAATGGTCAATGGAATCGGTCAGCTGAAAGAGACCGGTCACCGGTCCGGTAGCCCACAATTAGCTCAACCCTCACTGGCACCCGGTGGTTGCGGTGACACCAACTTGTCGTCCTCTTATCAGACTAGCCCGGGAGATTCCAGCAGTGATCCCTGTGGCACCCTATCGATGGAGCGTACATCAAGCTATCAGAGTCACTTCGAATCGGGCAGCATGAGTGGTGGTGGTGGCTGTACTGATACACGTATTTTCCAACCTGGCCTCAAGTGTGAGCCTAACCAGGAGTCCTCCATGAATAACTGTGCCTCTCCGCGTTCCACGGAGTTACATAACTGTGCAGAATATTCAGTTCATAAGCGAGACAGCGTTCAAGATACTGGAGATGAGCAAAGACCACGTTCGAATATTTGCCAGCCAAATAATGGCCGAATTCATCGTGTGAATACTCCACAAGGCAATACAGGGATGGTTGCGGACCCTGAATTTGATGACACTGCTCAGTCGGACAAAGACACACAACGTACAAACGAAGAAGGTTCAGACTCAGGATGCAAGTCAGCAGAAGAGAGAGGAGTGCATGAAGTGGATAACGGAAAGAAAGGCAATACGAGTAAGCAACATTCTTTATCTGTAGTAGAGTACCCATTTAAGAGTGGCCAAAATTCAGCAACTTAGTTGATTCAGTGCATCCGGACTTTGGTAGTTTATGAAAAATCCAGGTTTGTCTGAGCGGAAGCCAGAGTAGAGATTTTATGGGATTCTTGTCCTCAGTCCAAAATGGTCAACACTCAGGTGAATGTAAACATAAAGGCATTTACGAGAAATACACTCATTTGCAAATCAATTTGGTTTTCACGAGAGACTCAACTGAATCTCTCGTTTATGATATTCTACAACTGAAAGTGCTGCACACAGGCCGCCTCATGTTTCAATCGGCACGATATTCGAGATATCGCAGTATATTTTCATAAAGGAAACTGGGGGGCTGTGCCTACCTGATGAGCCCCAAGAAGGGCGAAACCTGTCGTGGGCTGTTGAAGAGTTTCCAGCAACCTTGTGAGTGGTTTCCTCTATTAAAATAAAGGCATTTAATTTTTCGTAAATTAATTTATCTGTTGTTGCATCACAATAATAGTTTTTCCTAGTCAGAACGTTCTTACTATTGGTTAATCGAAATTTTGTAGCGCTAACAAAATCTTGGTCTATGGGCCAAGTCGACTCCACCGACATTTCACATATCCCGGTTTGGATAGACCTGACAATGCGAGGGCTGACGCCATTGAGCCAATCCAACCACATAAAAAACTTCGACAGAACTGCTTGGTCAACGACATGTTTGACAACTCATTGTGGTGAGGCAGTAATAAGCTGTTGTGGTACTAATTGGAGAATGGTCTAGACTTTTCTCTACCCAGAAAATGTATACCGTTTGTCGCGTATTGGCTCCCTTTTGCTTCTAAACATCTTGAAGAACGAGAATGAAGTTCATGTGTCCAAAGAGTTCTTGCTTGAGCAACACACCAATGATACGTGGAATCACAGAGATTTAACGGTAATCTGCTGTGGATTTGGTGTACATGTGAACTGCCAGTCACCGCGAAACCGAATGTAGGTGCGGAACACATTCATACTGATGAAAATCGAGTGATATAATGGGCATATTGAAAGTAATGTAAAGCTGTGTCAAATATATGAATGTAAGATGTTCAAACCAGAATGAAAAGTAATCTTAATTACAGACGTTTACTCGAATGGGGAGTTCGTCAACCAGAACGAAGTTACTGTCATGGACTTGTGTACGCACAAAGCCAATTTAGACTTGATTCAGTGTGAGAGTCTTGTTCAGCGTGTTTAACAATCTCTTCACTAACAATGTTGATTTACTGAGCATCGATTAATATAATTATACTCACTCCCATTCTCTTGCAGGCTATAATTTGTCAGAACTGGGTAGGCTAAATGGGTAGGCAAAAAATGACTTTCAAAAGGAACAATTTTTTCAGCATTCAGGAGATGCGGATACTATTAGGCTTGATAACTAAATTCGTCTAGCTGTGGAGAATTAGAAAAGCGTATAAACCAACTTTGGATTTACCAGTTATCTCGTCCTCAGGGCGAACAACCGGATGGACGGCTCGTTTGTAGGGTGACTGATTATCTGTCCACGTGGCTACGATTCGTCACTGCGCATTCTGGTTGGGTCTTCTAATCATCTGATTGCAATTTGTTCGGCAGCGGATAATTCTCATCATGGCTTATTTGCTCTGAAGTACGGTGAAGGATTAAAAACATGGTTCATATTTTCGAGAAATACACTCATTTGCAAACCAGTTTAGTTTTCACGAGAGACTCAACTGAATCTCTCGGTTATGATATTCTACAACTGAAAGTGCTGCACACAGGCCGCCTCATGTTTCAATCGGCACGATATTCGAGATATCGCAGTATATTTTCATAAAGGAAACTGGGGGGCTGTGCCTACCTGATGAGCCCCAAGAAGGGCGAAACCTGTCGTGGGCTGTTGAAGAGTTTCCAGCAACCTTGTGAGTGGTTTCCTCTATTAAAATAAAGGCATTTAATTTTTCGTAAATTAATTTATCTGTTGTTGCATCACAATAATAGTTTTTCCTAGTCAGAACGTTCTTACTATTGGTTAATCGAAATTTTGTAGCGCTAACAAAATCTTGGTCTATGGGCCAAGTCGACTCCACCGACATCATATTTATTCATCATACCTTACCTGCAATTCTAGCGAATCAGCTTCTGAAACCGGTTTACATAAGGGAGATTAACCTAAACTAAAGCTGGTTAGCTATCCACTCTTCCTCTACGCTGGTAGAGACATTTTAATTTTGCTTGTGCGCATTCTTCGGAAAACCGTACAGTTGACCAGTTACTGGTTCGCCAGTAGGGTAAGAGGTCACTAAAATGGTTGATACAGTATTTCTCACAAAGACTAATTTGATGCCGATGAACATCCCAGGTTTCACTCTTCCCTGGCTTTGACAACTTTTGGCGCTAAGATGGAAGCCCTGAAAAGTGGCCTGCCCGTTTTTCTAAGTGAAGTATATCGGTTGGTCTATAGAGCCGCAATGGGAAGTTCCTAACTGAACCACCAGTCATCTTGCCGGAAGGTTATTTTTAGACATGTCCACCACCTCAGTAATCACTAGCGCAGAAGGAGGGCATTGACGAGCTTACACTTTGTTTACTCAGTGAGATTTAGAACGACCCGATCAGATGTTGATGGGTTCGAATGTGTGTCGGTCAGCAGAAGATAATATAATCCTGTGCCCAGTTATCAGTCACTACCCATTTGGTCACACGTGTCTGGGTGTTCATAAGACGACGGTTCCATTGTTGCTAGGTCGATTCCAATCTGATAGCAACCGGGTAGGTCAAATCTGCATGGGTCAAGCGAGATCTGTTCCTTCCTGTCTGGGTTTTCACACAACAGAGGTTTTGTTCTGAAATATTTTGGATTTTCTCATTTCTTGTATTTCGCAACATTACGGATGATGAAATAGCAACACTAGGTGCTCAGTGTTCAAACGTGTTCCAACGGGGTACTACATCAGCAGCACTCGTGATAAGCATTGTCACGAAGGCGAAACCAATATTTAAAGCCAGTTCAGTAAGTGCTGTCCCAAAAACATCCGTTCTTATTGTCAAAGGTGATGATAACCAACGGTGCTATCGTCTTCCCAGCGGAGGTTCTTCAGTGAGAAAACTGACAAACGAAATTCTCGACATGCACTCATTCGCACACTAATTTGGCTTTGGTGAGAGACTCAAACGAATCCAAGCTGAATATGTTGCACATAAGCCGCCTCACGTTTCACTCGGTACGGTCTTCGAGATATCGTATTATATTTTATGGAAGGAATACTACTCAATAGGTCGCTGAAGTGTGACAAACCAACTTTCAGTCGAGCACAGTTTTCTAACTTAAATACATCATAGAGAACCAGAAATTTTGAAATCTCTAAAAATATGCACGGTGGCCTATTTCATGTGCTAGTTTAGCAAGAATCAACCTTTTTGCTCACCTTCAATGACAAAATAATAGCTGGTCTTTCGATTGATGCGAAATTTTGATGCACGATTCCTTTGCGTATTGCTTCTCAGGCATACTTAGTTATTGTGCTCTTAGACCACTATTTGTGTGACTCGTCAAATGGATGTGAACAATGTGGAACGTCTTCAAAGTTCGTTCTTGTGTAGTAAGGCGCCGTGGGAATGGTAGCGACCGTAAGATACATATTACTCTATGGGGACAGAAAACACTCACGCAAAGTCCACCTGATCGACTAGGATAACTTTACTTAGTACCTTACTGCATGTCGTGCATTATCTCTGCATGCACAGCAGATGGTTTCTCCCTACAGGTCAGGACATGATACCACCTTAAATGGCTTGTGTTTGGGTCACAAACATTGTATGACTTTGGTAAGAGAATACTGGCCTATCGAGCACCAATCGGAAGCCGTAAACTCTAATCGTCCGTTCGTAGTGTTTTTGTAACTTAATGGGAAATGGAAGGTATAAACCACAAGCTTCACACATCTTGTGTCCTTCAGACAGGAGTAGACTGTCGTGTTGAACCAATTCGGACCGATGACTTGTCTGCATTGCTTCGTTCTTCCTTCTTGAGTAAACTCTCTTCAATAACGATTCACCGGCTAAATATTTTGTCTTTGTATTAACGTGAGAAATGTCTAGGAGATCCCTCCTATTATTCTGTTTATGCGACTTTGTTACTGATAACAGTATCCGTCACAAGAAAGCTATCATTTTCATCAGAATGCACTGTAGATGCTTAGATGACTTCCGATTCTGGAGATAGTACAGGACAGGCTTGAGCTATGAGCAGAGATTTTGACCAGTTTGTAATTTATCTGGAAATCGGATGTACTATAAATTTGGTGTCAGATTGTTCTTCATAAGTGGCATTTTACTGCTGACGTTTCGTCACAACGACCGCTCAACTGATGAGAAAGTGATCGCAGTATACGCGCCTGATTGGGCGACAAAATTCCAAAGTAACCAATCAACTCGAACTGTCATGTACTTTGCTACTCCACCAGCACACTACCAGAAGAGTCTCAATTGGCAGATTGGATCAGAATGAGCTATTTGAATAATCAAAACTGAGAGAGCGAATCCATGTGACTGACTGGGTCATGTTTGAGTATAGCGTACGGCTCTTTCAGTCGTAGAAAGCATTTGCATTATTGATTTCGGGATTTCTCATCAGGTTGGTACATTTCTAATGATTAAAACTTATTTATTTATTCATTTAACATTATTTACCCTTATTTTAACCATTAGATATATATATATACCTGATGACGAGATCCCAAAGATATTAATGTTCGTCACTGTGCTCTTGCTCGAACCATGGGGGTACTTAAGTAATTTTTGGTTGTCTAGCTGCAACCAACCGCATAAATGTAAGTGTTGCCGAGCGGAAGATGAAATGAATTTGAAGCAGCGACTCATTCAGCTATTTCTCCATTAAACTAGCCTATTCCGGTAATAATTCACCGTTCCTATTGTGAGGGCTAGGATTACATTTAGTCGGTCGTCACACAGTGATTCGGTGACCAC